TGGTCTACTGGCCATCAGGGGACGACTCCTCTACTTGCAAAATAAGTCTGATTGTAGAAAATGCTTTTGATTTATTCCCTCAATAAACATTGTAAACAGGAGTTTATGACCTCAACCTCCACTTTCAAGTCTTCCTCAAAACAGCATGATGTTCATTTGGTAAATTATGGTCACATTTATAGTCGAATATTCCATAAAGCAGAGTATGCTTTAGGGCGTGGCTACCTTGTGATTGACAAGTTGCTACCGCGGCGTCGTCTGGTCTGGGTGTCGTCTGTATTTTCAGTCCATTATTTGTTCACAATTGTTACGTTTTAATTCACCTGGACACGTCTTCATGTTCAGCGTTTAGTTGTACTTAGCTCCACTCTCTCCCGAGTCACATCTGGTCGCTTAGTCGGCATCAAATTGAACCATGGTTTGATTTGTTTCTGTGAAAACATGTTGGTTGATTCAGACTTTCGGTTCAGACTTTCGGCCCAATTACAGAAAGTTCTGTCAGGCTATTATCAGACCTAGAAGAAGGAAATACAATGCAATAAAACCAAATGAGCTGCGGAGATTTTAGGGTGTTCCACCCGGCAGAGCGGGAGCCCCACATACCATGGCCGAGCACTTACTGCAGCAGTATAGGTTCGACTCTGCCCCGCGGCCCTTGGCTGTCCCTTCTCTCACCCGCTTACTGGAACCAACACAATGCTGACCTTGGTTCGAACACTGTTACACTATATATACACTTGTTAATATTTGCAATAATATCTAAATAACTCAATATGAAAACAAAAATAAGCTAATTTTCCAACACAACTGATAGTCTACTTGATTTGACTGGTGTTTTTTTTGGGGTTGTGTTGCATGAAGTTTTAGGGCCTTTCTGTGCTTAGTTGTGTTTGCTGTATTTGCAGCATGTTTAATAATGCCGCATTCATGTTGTCAAATTGGCGAGCTTGTGTTTAGTCTATTTGCGTGTGCTGCCTCTAGTGCATGCTGAGCTCCTGTGGAATTCAGGTAAATTAGGGTCAAACCATACCTGATGCTATGCACCCAAACAATTAGACTGAGAATCTTTGAACATGCAGCTCGAAAGAATAAGCGCCTCTTGGTGGTAATAATGATCAAAGGAGACGGGACTTGTTTCAAGGACGGAGTCAGTGTGGTCTATTTGTTTGCCTCTGTTGCTGCTTTTGCCAGTAATCTCTGGAGAGCGGCTGTGTTTTTGGATTGATGTGGACTGTGCAGGGAGCCCGGAGAGCGCTGCAGGCAAGTGTCACTTCCCATTGGATGTTCCTGGTAACTACTATACATCTTTCAAAACAAACTGTCACGTGCCGGGTCTGAGATGCTTTCATATCTCCGACCCCCTCTCGACTCCGTGACTTTGACCCAATAAAAACAGCTTACAGCTCAGGAGGAGATGAAATGGGAGATTACTGGGTTAGAAAAACAAGTGCAAAGACGGAAAGTGACCTTTAACCTTTGGGTATTGCACCATAATGCTGAATATGCACGTGTATTTATAATGTACTGTGACCACCGTGGACAATTGAGATGTGTGAAACTGGAATCTCCCAATTATTTTGAAAATAAGATATACCTGCAGGTGTAACACCTCTAATGAGGATCCTACACAATTATCGCTTACAACACGCCATAAATAACACCTATTGTTTGCATATTGAATCAGCAAAACAAGCACAACAAAGAAGGAGTGAATACAATTGCATAAGGAATTCATGAGCTGAGAAATAGTGGCGCTGTAGTTTCTACTCTGTCTGGAAGAATAAAAAAAAGTTGTGTAGTCCCTCGCTCTCTTCTCTCCCACTGCAACTTCTGAGACATGTTTTCCCCCTCTCGGTGTCTGTGTAATTGCACTTCACTCTCAGATGCCTTTCAACTTATCTGATGCATTGACAAATTCCCCCTTTCAGTGTTCTCATCATGGCTATTCCCTGGAAATGTACAAGAAAGAGGAGGAGGCAGGCGCAGAAGACAAGCAGAGAGCAGGCCCGGCTTCCCAGATGGGTTGTACCACATCGATTGACTGCTGAAATATATCTCACATCATATAAAACTCCGCTCAGGGCCATGATATCTCTATAGGTGGAATATTCCGGGTCTCCCAGAGGCTCCTGGAAAACAATTGACAAGACACAGTGCTTTTGCTGCATCTGAGAAAGCAAAAAACAGTTGCTCCATGTTGTCATCCAGGGTCGCAACCGCATCAGAAAAAGGTTGATTTATTGGCAATTAAGAATAGCTTCCAACATGATTTGCATTATTCCAAGCCTCATCCAGCATCAGGGGAAATCTGTCATGAAAAGAAAATCCTTTGGTTTCCATATGATATATGACATGTCTGGGAACAAGACATGCAGACAGGACTGAAGAAAAGTCATATGATGGTGCTCTGACATTATTCAGATGTCTTTATTATGGAAACACTATGAACTCCAGACTGCTATATCTTTTTCAGGGGTGACAATATACTACACCATTGGGTTCCACTTTAAAACAATTACTCCCCCACCTTCCACCAGATTGCCACTGAAGTACTGAAAAAGTACCTAAAGGAACATACCATTGGTTTTGCCCAATCAACCCAGTTAGGCTTATTTGCTTACAACATTTTATTAGTGGCAATTCATGAACGTGGCGTTGTAATTTAAATGTGTTTCCCTACCTTTGAGGGGCGCATTGGCTTCAGTTATTATTTAATGAGTTATTATAGTGAGCGGGACTTGAAACTGGCTCATCCTTCGCTAATGCATCATAATGAAGCACATGTCTGCACTGTTTTTTTGTTAAAGTTCTAATAATGTTAAAATGGCAGAGTTATCTGTGAATCCTTCCTGGTGGTGCATTCACGGGCTGAAGTGATCTTCACTGTTCAGCTGCTTTGTATTCATACGTTATGTGGTTTGGACATCAGAGAATACTGAACAAATAATCATCAGACATGAATATTGTTATAAATGATCTACCAAAATTATTTTGCAGACTTCAGAGTAGAAGACGGACAGACGCACCAGGCTTTACCATCCACGTCGGACGCGAAAAGCGGTCTCCTGGGGGAAAGACAGACACGTCATCAGACACTCAAAACAGCTGAAGATGGAAGTTTGAAAAGACCATTTACAAGTAACGAGTATTGATATATCATGACGCCCAAAACTGATGCTAGAGACATACGTCTGACGATAAAAGATTGTTTTATGAATGAGATTATAAAATTGGATGTGTGTTATGGCAGAATAAATGCTGGATTTTAAGGTGGGTGTAACACCTGATCATTTCAAAATTAGGCAAAATGTAAAAAGCATGCACAACCCCTGGCATGTTCATTTAAGCTTTGAAGACACAGAGCCAGTGTCACTGGAGGAGACCTCTCCAGAACCACCGACTGTGACTAGTGATCACTTCAGTCTTAAGAAATAATGTATTTTCTGGAAAATGTTGCCGTCTTCATGATGTTAATAATAAACATAACATACATTGAATGAAACTGTTTTTACATATGGTGAGAGCAATCGAAGTATCACAACAATTGATGCACAGAGCAAGTGGCGTAGTGTATGCAGTGACAGTTATTGAAAGTTAGTTGGTATAATAACGAGTAAAACGAGCACGACATCTGATTTCACCCCGGAGACCGCTGTGCGTGTCCTGTGAGAAATCAAAAGTCAACACTGACTTTACGCTGGTTGCATAACTGTTTGTTATGCAACATTACCTAAGAAGGTCCGCTAAAGGCGGCTGTTACTTATTTACGGTCGTTGTGTTCTTATGGATGTTGTGTAACCCCGCTGCGCTGTTTCATATGAAGCTGATCATGAAACGGATTTTTGTTTCAAAGAAACGTTGACATTCAATACATCCTACGGTTTGTAAAAAATAAAACATACGAAGCAAACATTGTTTTCTGGTGACTGAGTTTGCCTCGTCGTCCCTCACTCGTTGGGTTTCACGCTGAAGTCCCTCTAAACATTTCTTCACTGCCCGGCCACCACAGTCCAGATGAGAGACGATCTGAGCGGATAATGTTTTCACTCATCAAATGAGCCGATAATAATGTTTTTATTCACAGTTCATATGCTCCTAAAAAGAGGCTGAATTGGACATCACTCAAAGATGAGGTAAGCACAGAGCTTTTTGTAGTAGAGATGCAAATAAAAGATCATCATCACGTAATAAATGATCCAGTAACTAATAAAGGGAGCTAAAACGGTTGAGGTAATGTTTACACAAGCTAGCAGTACTATTTTTTTGTTACACTACCATTGTTATGGAAGGCACAACAACAGCTTTCAGCCCAGTTCGTTTTTCTAATAAAGTGCAGAAAATAAATAGCATGATTTTTGCATATTTTTATTGACCCATGCACTCTAAAAAGTCCAACTTCAAATTTGTTGTACTAACACCTTTTTTAAAGTTGAGTCAACAAATCCCTTTGAAAAAAGTTGAGCTAACTCAAAATGTCAACTTTACTAATAAGGAGTGCAGTCCACTGAAACTTTTAAGTCGAGAAAACTTAGCATAGTGGTTTGGGCATCTGCTGAGGTAACTAAGGCCACTGTGCATGGGTAGATGTTAGTAAATATATACATGTACATATATGTATGTATGTGTGTATATATACTGTATCCTACTTTAATTATATATTTTAAATAATAAAATAAAATAAATAAAACATTATTTTCTTTAGCCCCTGTTCAGATACTTTGATTTTTGATATCATTATGTTTAGATACCTTACTTTTTTAGATTTCATTTGATTGACATTTACTTTGTATACCTAAATCTTATTTGTGTAAGAATGTTCATGATCTGCTGAATGTCTGTTGACAATGTTCAATAAAGAGAGAGAGAGAGGAGAAAAAAACACTGCCAACCGCCGTAAAACCAGAAGAAGAAGAAGCAGCAGCAGCAGCAGAAGAAGAAGAAGAAGAAGAGAGGGGAAAAAACGTCTAATCACTGCTACACCAGTGCCTTCGGTTAGAGATAGCAATTCCGCGCCGGTCCACGCCAGTTCAAGTGTTGCTGCAGCATGCCGTCTACCTCGAGCACAAATTAACAAGGTAAGGCTGTGTATGTTCTGGAGTGTGTTAGCTAACGGGCTAGTCAGCTAACCTGTTATTTTTTTTAATGCAAAAGTTAACATTAAGAAGTTTACAACGTGACGGACCCTACCCTATTTTTCACGTGTTCATAATGTCATGTGTAATTTAACGATAACGACCTGCGGCTTGCGGTTTTGCATGGTCGAGTGAATTTGCACATATTCAAGTTAACGTCTGTACTAGTGTAATCTCTGTGAGATGTCTCCGGGCTAAATGAATCTCCTGGAGCTGGTCAGACTTGTGGTAACAGCAGGTTTATTCCACATCTGCATTTATGACAAAGGACAACATAGAAGAATGGGTCATTTTGCGGACAACTGCGCATGCTCTGTCTTTCAGTAAATCCTCCGTTGCGTTCAGGATTACCCATTTTGAAATACACTAACACAGTGGTGACATTGATACAGTGATCGTATAGTGGGTTTAATTTTATGTAAATAAAATAGCCGAAATAGAACATAAATTGTCTCTCTTAAATGTATGAGGAGAATTACAAAAGTATATATAACCAAAAATATATTTATACAGATTTCTCACACTGAACTGTTACCTTTTTTCATTTTATAGTAACAATTCTATAACTGAGTAAACATGTAGACTGTAGAAAACACTACATTAGCATGTTTAAAATAGTATCACACTCTATAGAACATACTGTAACATACCTGCATTTATGACAAAGGACAACATCGAAGAATGGGTCATCTTGCGGACAACTGCGCATGCTCTGTCTAGAAAGACGGCATCAAGTTAGTGTTAGCTAACGTTAGCTGTATTGGAGACATTTTTACTAGCAATAAAACACATAAAAAACGTATAGTTAACTTAATAAAAACATGGCGAATATTATCTAAGACACATAATATTCAACAAAATAAAGCCAGCTCAACCGTTATGTACTTTTAAAGTTAGTTGTCATTATATTGTCCACGGACATTCACGGACCCGTTACCTTTCAGTAAATCCTCCGTTGCGTTCAGGATTACCCATAGTCCTTTGCGTCTACCATTCAGTGCAGGTACACATTTACAACAGCAGGTGGCGTACTTTTCCCATTTAGCGGGATTTAACCTGAACCTCTTCAACTATGTTACACTAACTAAAGCTAACGTTACTACGTTGTATGCACGTGCACAACGTTGTAGCGCCGTATGCTACATTGGTTGGTTTTTGTTAGCTAGCTAACATGCTGCTGCAAAGTGCTTCGCCATTCGTTAGTGTTGGTGGTATTGAAACTCGAGGGCTGCTAGTTTAAGTTACCCGCGCGCGTGTACCATTAAGGTGCACTAGATACAGTCCAGGTAATGAAGTAGACTTAAAGCAACACGCCATTCTTTTGTGCATCCCATTTATTTGTGTTACTCGTAAGACTCCTTGACCTATGCTTTTCCTTCCCTGATGATACAAAACAAATAATACATAAATACTCATATAAAATACTCAGCAAAAGGGGGGATGAAAGTTCTGTTGCTTTTCGTGGTCACCCCCTTCCTTCCATCACTCATAGTATTGTTTGTCATTGTGATAAAACCATTTTAATGACTTGCAAATAGCTCCTTTACACACTTAAGGTAAACATAGTTAGAGGTTAGTGAAATCGTCTTTTAAATTCTCAGTTCTCAGTGTACATTTAATAAATCATGGCAAACTGCTTTTCTGTTTTAGTAAAAAATGTACCATTACTCCTTGGCAATATTTATTGCCCATCTTTGAGCAACTTTGATAATAAGGGGATGTGAAGCTGTTAGATTTGCATGGAGTTTTGACAACTATGCACATTGTTAGCATGTTCTTATCTTTCCTTCATAGGATTTGGATGCAAGTTTTTCCACCCCAGTCAACATGTCCTCTGAAAGCATTACAGACATTACCAGGCGTGATTCTAACCACTCCGTGCCTGTCTACAGACTGCACCTGAGCTTTCAAGACAACTGGTGCGTTAAAATCCCACCTTTCAAGAGTACATAAACAGTCTGGTAAACCTAAAGTGCAGGTCACATTTTGTTGTGAATTGTGTGACTGTAAGGTCCTCTGTGTGCCAGAAAAATGCATAGGCCATCTCAGGGCTAATTTGAAGCAGCATGTGACTGTTTGTTGTCTATTCAAAAACTGTGAATTTACAAGTAATGTCCTTCAGTAGTCATGTAAGCCGGAAGTACAAATCTTACAGTGTTAATGATTTTAGATAATCTGTAATATCTCCAACAACTCCAACTGATCTACCAGAAGCAGATGAAGAATTGCCTGCAGAGTGCAATGATCCACAGGCTACTGTTGGTTGTTCTGAAATAGAAAGCAGCATGTACCTAATGCCTTTGGACAATTATACAATTGAACATAAACTTGCATCATTTCTTAACATGCAAACTGTTTTGTGCAGAGTTCTACAGAATTACTCGAGTGGACCTGAAGAGGATCTTCCTGTCATCATTGGATGCACACTAATCGCAGCTTATTAAGCTGTACAGATCACGCCGTGGAACACTTGGAAAGGACATGAGGATCCTTCTAGACAACTTTGATGAACAGGTAATCGATAAGTAGGAAGTGCATGTGGTATAGCAGGGGTCCTCAATTAGATTTGAACTGGGAACAAAAACTGGGGGACAGACGAGGGGCATTTTCACAATTATTTAGTCCGACACAAGACATCGATTTATAAAACGGACAACTATGCAAACCATAACATTGGAGCAGAGCATTTACCATCAGATCACCCTTTAATATTGCAGTTTGTCTAACAAAATAAATATGAATACACGTTAATGTTCACAGGTGTATTGTATTGTTTGACTTAATTGACATTTCAAATTGATGATTTTGGAGATGAAAAGCAAGAGAGCGTTATTGTGTTTTCACCCTTAAGCGATGTCCAAAAACATGATGCCCATATATACAGTGGTAAAATATGGGTTCATTTAGTTAGTGAATACAGCCGACCTGAAATGCATGCTACAATGCTGGAAGCATTTTGCCAAATGCCTTTGTCTTCTATAGTTTGCATTGAATTTTTTGAATTATAATTATTGTAAATATATACATTTTTAATCTTCCTTTTGTATCTTTCAGACAACTGATGTGCTTGCCCACAGAAAGTCTACAGCTCTATGGGGTCTACCGTTCTTTGATGGAGAAGCCGGACGGCTTTCTGAAGAAATATCTGGTAAGACTAATGTGTCAATGTCATTAAGGTTGCACATTAAGCAAGAAAACACTAATGCAAACTTTCATCAAACCCTCATTTCTACTTCACTGTTACTTTGTTATTCCACCTAAATAGTTTAATAAGTGTAACTTTACAGTTTTTAACATTTCATTTCATGTGATATCGCCAATACTGGCAATATTACTGTAGCATCAAGGTTACATGTGAGTGTGGTGCCTGCATCACATGCATTTTGTAACAGCAATTCTCATTCAAATTTACTGGTAACATTTATAATTCAAAGCCCAAATTAGTCATGGGTTTTGAGACCTCGTATACAGTGCATTCAGAAAGTATTTAGACCTGTTGAAGATTTGTCTGACTTAAAAATGATGCATGTACATATTTTGCAGTATTTGTAATTGTAAAGTCATTCTCTGTCGGTGCATTTTCAAAGTCAATATACCTTTTTGGTTAGCTAATCTTTTTAAGAAAATAAAACTAAAAAAGCCCCTACACACCATTAGCACCCTTTGCCGCTACATGTCTTTAGGGTAAGAATCTGGCAGATTTGGAGTGATTTTGTCCATTGTTTAATGGCAGATTTGCTCCAGTTCCTTCAGGTTTTTGTCACTTATTGAATCGAAGGAAGCCTGTACAGTGAGAGCAAATGTTTCCCTGTATTCTGCTCTATTTATTTAATGACAAGACACGACATTCAGAGTATGAATATTTAAATATTCAAATACTATAATACAAATGTGTAGGGGGTGAATATGGTATGAAAGTGGTATATTTTAGTTTTTAAAATCTGCAGAAAATTTACCAACCAAAAATGTATTTTGACTTTTCAAATGTATGGTTACAGAATGGGAAGGGAAAAAAAAGAGAACTTTAAAGAGGGGGTGAATATTTATGAAAGTCTCTATATGCTTGTGTTTCTTTAAAATACAGACCCGGAGGAATTTTGTGTCAAGGGAGTTGAACTTGGAATACTCAGTTGTTGAAGATGGCGTTGGGACGGTCTGCTCAAGTCCAACAGCAATAAGCATCGCCCTGGTTATTGAGGAACGGATTATCCTGGAGGATGTATGCGACTTCCCAACCGCATTTGCCCTTTTGTTTGGGCTCATCTAGGCTCTTAACCTGGACTATCCGAAGGACTTACGGTACACATTTTTGAAGTAATTCAAAAGGTGTTCATGAACCTTGGTACCCAGTGCTCTACCCGGGTTCAGGCCTTAAAGAACTGTTTGCTGAAGTAGCCTGCCATATCTAAACCACACCTATGGTCTTGGCTGGATTTTCATGAGGGACTGAAATGTCACCAACTTGACCAAATGCCGATGGTATGAGTTGACCAAATTGGTCAACACCCTTAAGTATTAGATGTTTAACAAGTTTATTATTTGCCTTACTACTTTGTATATTACAGCTGAACTATCCACTGATGGTCCTGCACTTTAGGTGTATTATAATTTAATATTAATTTTAGTTTATTGTTGTTACTGCCACATAGCGCCATGCAGGCATATATTTGCATTTATTTTTGTTTTGACCGAGTATTAGGAGAGAACTTTAGTCGGTGTCTTTGGGTTTAAAATGGCGTGAAGTAGAGATTATAAGGATGTTGACCCCCTGCTGTCTACTATTCAAGTGTTGAAATTGAAAGACAATATTGTTTTGCAAGCAAATAACTTATTGTTATTAAACATTTTGTGTTTTAAGATGTTTTTCATTTCTTTGACGGTGTACATTTCTAATTAATTAAAAATGAGGGCTGTAAAAAAGAAAAGTTGAGTATACTTAAAAAGGTTAAGTAACCAGCTGCACAGCTTTTTTGAGTATACTCAACATAAAATGGGCAGTGCTGTTAATGTATGTTTTCAATCTATAAGAACACACAATTTCAAGTTTCTCCAACTTGATATTTCAAGTGTTCTTTAATTAAGTACATGAGTAGACATGAGGATCAAACTCAATATGTTAAGTTATGTTAACTTAAGTACATAAGTAGGTCTGAATAGTAATGTTAAGTTTGACAAACTTAAAATAGCACTTTGAGTTAACTTCTTATCCTAAGTTGACACAACCCATTAGCCCTTAGTTGAGTATACTCAAAAAAGCTGTGCAGCTGGTTACTTAACCTTTTTAAGTATACTCAACTTTTTTTTTTTTTTAGAGTGTGAAGACCTCTTATTTTCAGGTACAGACTCCATCAGGACTGACAGTAGCCTATGAGCCCATATAGAGCAATCAGTATTCATGGGACACGTAGTCATGTCTTAGCCACCAGGAAAATTTGCTGAGATACAAGAAATTGTTAAAGAGGCATTAAAGCATGACATTTTCCAAAGAGTCAACATGGGACAGATTAACAAATGAACAAAAATATCCAACTGTTGTCAAAGTTAACCATGAGAAATCAAAACATATCTATATCATTCTGCTAGCTGTCCGTAGCATCAAAGTCAAAGGCATAGTGTAATTGGATGCTGATGTGGGCCAATATTAATCATATTAATCATCATTTTATTGTCAGGCTCAGCGAGTGAAGTCCAAGCTGGGTCCAAGTTGGAGCATGCGGAGGAGAAAAGACCAATTTCTTCGTCGTGAATGGAAAGTTCTCTTAAGCAGTTTGGAGTGATTTTTCATCAATCATGGCACGGTCCTCCCGAGTTGGGAATTGGGGGGAGGGGGGGCAGAGAGAGTGAGAGAAAAGGGTTGGACCACTCTATTACCTTCACTATGAATAATGATGTATGACATAGAAGCACACAGGAGTTTCTTTAAAATGTTGCCAGCATTGATCTACAGCTTCAGTCATGGGATAACACACATTTAACATTTAGGACACCCCTGGGTGAGAAGCAGAAAACATCACGCGGCAGCTCCGCCTCTGGTTCATCAGTAGAATAGCAAAGACGATGAGTATTTTCCAAAAGAGCTCCTCTTTATTACATATTAACACAATCTCAGACAACCTTCTTCTCTCTGAAAGTGATTCGACATTATGGTCACGTCGTCTGACTCCCCCCCTCCCTCCACCACTTCTTTTGACTTATTTGATAACATCAAACAAAAATGTCATCTATGATGCAATGTCAAGGAAATCTGCTCATTTGTCTATCTCAAGCAAATCTCCACAGTGCAAGTTTTGACATGTTTGCCATCAATATTTCATAAGTAAGCCCCCTAGGTTTTTTTTTTCCTGAACTTCTGGCTTCTTCCAAACCACCCAAGGTCAATCCCCCCCGCCTGTTTCAAGGACCCGTTTCCTCAGAGAATCCACCCAGACCCCTGATATAAACTGACATGTTGTGCCTTACGCATAACACATTGAGTAAAAAGATGAATATTCTATAGGTTAGTGCTGGCGTGGGAAACGCTAAGTGTGACCGGCACTACAACTGTATATTGACGGGTCAATGCTCTGTGCTGCGAGGCGCTCTCACAGTTCTGTTGGTTATGCAAAGCGACCAAGTGTGTGTGCGCTCGGCAGCACAGTGGTTCTGCACCTGCAGGTCTTTTAATGAATAATTGAATCATACACACTATATATTACTGTTAATATTGAAAGAGAGGATTTCTTACTGTTCTGGAGCAACTTTAGTTTTGTCATTACACAGTCTCAAATGGAAATCTGCAAGATTGTCATTCATTTATATCATTCTAAACTAGTGCACAGCAAAATGTTATTAATGTATATTTAAGCATTTTTACAAAATTCTCTAATGTACCTTTACAATAACATTTTTTATGACGGCCATGTCGATAATGCATTATTAACACACGTATACTTATCGTTAGCTGCGAGCCACCGTGGGATGGAAATAGATGTGCTGTAAATATCATATTGAGCACCTTTAAAGCAAAGAACAGCCACTTAGAACAACTTAGAACAGCACAACAATGCAACATAACAGTTATTATAATGCATGATAAAAATAATATAAAATATTAAGTATGACAGTTATTTAAAAAAATAAAATGTCAGAGTGACCAACAATTATGATGTATTATGATACTTGACCTTATAAATACTACGTTATGATTATTGGTATGAAGCATTAATTAATTAATTATTCATGAGAGCTTATTTATCATATGTTTATAAGGCATTATAGACATGGGCATCATAGATGTGTAGCCAAAGCTCTTCTCCATCGTCATATTGTCGGCTCATACAAACATGATTGTAAGCTTCGGTTAATAGCCTGTAATATCCTCCTGAGCATCTACACCGTCAAATAGCTGCCTTCTGCAATAAGTTTTCTTTTGACATTCTGGCCTGTAATGTTAAAGATTGGATGCCATAAGTTGTTAATAGAGCGTTTCCACATCAGTAAACATTCAACATGCTAATGAGATTTAAATATTCACCCACTGACCTTCTGGCGTGGAGCTACACTGGTTCGAGGGCTCCCGCAATGCTGTAATTCAGGGCCTGGCAGAGAACTCCATGTCATAACGATTATCATTTCCCACTCGCATTAATACAAGTTACTCGTTCATTGTACGGCCAGTGTGCCCTTCGACTGCTCAGGTTGAACTGTGCACCACTTTCTAAACATTTTACTGTAAGTAATATGTTTAGCAAGTCCACATGATATCTGAATGCAAATGTAAGTTTACTATACTACCTGTAAATGTCAGCAATTTCCTTTGAAATGGACAGATAAACCTGACTTCATATCATTAGGATTTTCTTATGCTGTTTGCTTTGCTTTATTGTTTGTGAGTTGTACAACGGGACTTTTGACTTGTGGCACCTGGCAGATGAAAAGGCACATGTGAAATGTAGAATGACGGTGGCAGATCAAAACGTACAGTCCTGTTTGTACCAATGGCTCCTTGATATCTGAGTGAGGAAGACAAAGGCAGACTTTTCATTTCTGCCTGCGGATTGACGTGTCAACTGTCAGTCCCATATTTCATCAGCTGCAGCTGGTTGGTTGAACCGGAATTTCGTAATAGCCATCTTAATGACGCACTTCATGGCTATGCATGATATTGTGCCAAAAGACTTGGCATCCTCACCAGCTGACGATCCATGTAGAAGTTGTTCTTTTGTCAAAGTGTGGCGCTAGTTATTCCTTATATTTTCAGTATGATAAAGAACGTAAGATCCCTTTGGCTGCTTTAGCTTTCATACTAAAGTGTCTGCCCTCACTTTATGCAGAACAGAGGCTCAAAAGAGAAACGTTTTTTCCTCCACTGTGTGTGCATATATGAATTTAATGCAAGTTTCATACCGTAAGTATTCACTTTTGAAACTTTTTATCTTACCGTTTTATCCTCAATTGGCTCCTTAAATCATCCAATGGTGAGGAAGACACTGCATGGATGCAGATTTTTGGTAGTTATTTGATGGTGTCCTACAGTTGCTTTATATATTTTGTAGAGTAAAGTGCCTCAATGTGCAGTATTTACAGTAATCAAATATCTGCAACAGGAGTTTTACTGTGGTTTTGGAATGAAAGTGCTTGAGTAAATAGCTGCATTGCTTGTGTCAATTCCTAATTATTAATTATATATCATGTTTAGTTATTTTCTCACCCTTCGTTTCAATTTCCTAATGCCCCAGCCTTTAGTATATCACCTTTTAATGTTACAAGAGGAACAGCTTATAGAATGGGGACTGACTGGTGTGTTAGTAAGTGGTAACACAGGTGACTTTGCAGGAGTCTAAGGGTCGGGTTGAAGAAGGGGTTCAAAAGACATCCAACCACAACAGAAATCATAAGTGTTTCTAGGGGAATTTAATGTGATACGATTATTCAACTACAGCAAGTTTATCGGCGTTTATCTATAGTAATATTAATGGTACAAAATGATGTAAACTTGCAGAGCGTACAGGGTTTTGGATACCCTGAATAAGACTGTCATGTCGAAACGTTCGTAAACCATTAAACCATTTGTTTGTGCATCCTGGCTATGACCAGTGGGCGACTACTCTCCTTTACACTTGCTCACTTGTGTTCAGTCTTTCTGCTCACACAGGTTTTCTGTAGGTGGACTTTAATTCCCTGATCAGCCTGAACCTTTAAGAAGAAGGAGTGCACTTCCCCTTTGCTGGACCTGCAATGTCGGAGTGTTACAGCAGACGCCGTGAGAAATAAAGGGATGATGTCAGGAGCTCTTTGGTTTAATCAGCCTGACAGAACTGTTTGGGTACGCTCGAATGGATAGCGGATGGTATTGAATACAACATTTTTAAATAAAAGCATGTGCTGATGGTCGTTTATGAGAGTTCTTTTTAATATTTGCAGAATTGTAATTGTCATCCATAGCAGCCGACTATGACTCCCTCCCTGCCATCGCATCAGTAAAAAGAATAAATCGTCCTTATGTTTCATGACTGTCGCCAGCTTGTGAGCCTTTTGGAAAGTAAAGAGCAGATTTTACCGTGCATGTTTTCTACCCCGCGATATGAAGCCATGACATCTCCTCTTTCAACCCTATACTTGCTGTAATGTTAATTAGTTCCAAATAAGGGAATGCTTACTTGTTTCTCTACTGCACTAACACTATTTATGTTTCTCTTAAGCCTCTTGAGAGGTTACATCCGATTCATATTTTTTGTCAAAGTGCATTTGACTACCAGTTGAGTTAAAATGAGGGAAGTTTGCCACTGAATTAATTCTAGAGATCCTCCCTGATTGGCCACAGACAGCAGGTGACATAGTATAAAAGGTCTTGGAAGACAGCAAACTGGT